AAGATCAATAATTTAATGCTAATTATTAATAATAATAATTAATGCTATGTTTTCTCCCGGCCAAAACTATTAATATTATTAATTATTAATGTTATTTAAATATTGAGCTGGATCTGATCCAAGATAGGCTCAATGTGCTGGGAAAGGAAACCAGATACGAAAAACAATGGGTCACTTGGGGACAAGCAAGGCCTCTCGTTACTCATTGATTGTTAGCCTCTGTTCTGTAGTGCCTGCAGTGTCCCCACCATAATGCTTTTTCCCATAACTTGCTTCTTTCGTTAAAATATACACATGTACGCACACACATATATTTGCTGATATCAATTTTACATCGGCTTCAAAGTGTCGTGGTCTTCTCATTATTTAGATTTTTTATTTCCAATTATTATTTTAAGGTCTCAATTAGAATGCTTTTTTAAGAAAGAAATAAAATTTGAATTAAAATGATTCAAATTTTAACATGAATTGATTGCTTATTAATCCTTATTTTTGTCATGGATTAAGCTTTAGAGTGAAATATTAATGACCTTCCTTTAAGTTTGTTAAGATAACAGAGACCTCATTTCTATTTTTAAAGCCTACACTTTAGTCTATTTTTAACATGGTTAGGAATATTTTATTTAAAACTATAAAATACTTTATTATATTAATTAAAATTAATAATATGCTCTCATAATCTATCATCTTTTATCTCCTGTTTTAAAGAATATTATAGTTATATTTACATGAACATATTACAAAATATTAAAATTACTAAACATAAAATTATATATAAATTAATAGAATAAATAAATAATACATTAATTAATTTATTCCTCATTATGTTAAATTCCTAATTATTTTAATTTTATAATTCATTAAAATTTTATTCATGTATATTTAAAATATTATTTTTATCAACTTATATATTTAAAATTTTAATAATTACTATATGAATAAGTTTATTTAAATGAATGTTTATTTATATTTACTACTATTTTTATCAACTTATATACTATAATTATTATTTGGAAACTTAAATTACTCTAAAATAGTATTATATTAAAGAGGGGTATTTTAGTCAATAATATATGATTTAATGACTAATTAATGATTTGATAGATGAAAATGAAATTTTTAAAATAAAGCGGAGGTATATGTACGTAATTTTTTATTTCAAAATAGATTTATATAAATTTTAAAAATAGAAGAGATGTATTTATAATTAAAATAAAATAGGGAGAAGGTTGGTATATTTTACTCTAAACTTTAATATCACAAAGTAATGCCGGCGATGTCTATATATTTTATATTTATACAACTATGTAACCATTAGATACAATGGGATTTGGAGAGCAAATTGCAATGTTAAATATTCGTGAAGAGTGTAATTTTGTTGCAAATTTTATATTTATAAGATAAGATTTATTATAAATAACTTTGAGCATAAGTCAGCCTCGTGACTCTTTGTCTGAAAAAAAAAAAAACTTATGAGTCATTAATTTTATGGGACATATGGATCCACCATCACAATATTCTTTTTTTAGCCATTGCGCGACATCTAATATCTTGAACTATTAAGTGAATATAACGGGAATTTATATTAATTTAGATCAATAAAGGTAAAATTCTTTTAAGCGGCAATTTCTATCATTGAGTTGGTACTATATAACACTGTTATATTCTTAAAAATCAAATTCAGAATTTCTAGTTAAGTTGGTACTATTCTCTAGTCAATTGATGGACGAAGCGCTTAGTGGTTTCCCTATCCCTAATTTCACGTGCTTGATTATTAACTATGAAAGTTTGCCTCCTTTTCTCTTTCTTTGGTCTATTTTTGGGTCAAAACACATTTAGAGAAAGTCCAATATTAGTAAGGTTAAATGAAAGAGATTCAATTTTCCTTTAAGCAAAATCAACATATAATCTTACCAAGGAAAAAAGTTATATTGAAAGAATTGTTACTTCTAATTAAACTTAACAATGTTCAAATATATGCGTGATACTAGTTGATAACAAATAATTGCACGAAAATAAAAGAGACACGCACGTGGAGTGAAAGGTGATAATTAGGATGAATTTGTTGCGACACAGGTCAAGTGGATGCAATTTGGCCATAATGCGAGGATACGAGGGAACAGAGAGATGAATGTGAAAGAACAAAACGTGATGGGCGTGAAACATAATGTTCGTTCCCCGCACACTGTTTTTATTTCTTACTTGGGACGAAGCCCCCAGACCCCGTCACAGTCCACCTCTTCCCATACCTGTGGGCCATCTTGTGCTTCATACTGGGAACCTCCCTCCAATCTCTTAAATTAATTGCAACTAAGCATGTAAATGTGACATTAATATCAGTATTAATAACCCCAAAAATTAATAATGTTTTTTATCAATTTAACCTCTAGTGATAGGCTTACCATACTTGCATGAAAGTCCTTCTTGCAAAAGGAAGGTTGCAGATTTAATGCTATAAAATACTCTTTCTGTCTCAATTTATGAGATATCTTTTTAATGAAATTATATATATCAATAAAGTTAATTAAGCATATCTGACATTTTAAAAAAATAAAAATATAAATTTTTAAAAATATTCTTTATTTGATATAACTTTAGTTGTGAAACATTAAATAGGGAGAGAAAATATAATAACGAGGAAAATGTAATATTAGAGCAAGTATAATTAATAACATTTTATTTTTATCATGGTGTTTTATATAGATTTGGGAAAAGGTCGGGCCTAGAAGGCCACCCATTTAAGTCTATTTTTATAAGGGTTCAGGCTTAAAAAAATGATATTTTTTAAGAAAATTGAACTTTCAAGCCCGACACTGATAAGCTCTGAAAAAATAGACTCAATTGAATTAAAATTTTAGAATATATGTTTATACTTTAAAATTAAAATTTTTATTATTTATTTTAAAATTTTAAACATCATAATTTATATTTTTTAAAAATATATGAAATATTATAATTAAAAATTTTAATTTTAAAAAATAAAAAATAATAATAAGTGCTTATGGGCCTGGTCTTAAGCCTTTTATATAAGGGTCGAGCTTTAAAAAATGAGATATTTTAAGAAAACTAATTTTAAGGGCTTGAGTGGGGCCAGGCTCACCCGTTTTTCAACTTTAGCTTTATACAATAAAATAATGAATCATTTTAAAAAATGTCTTATAAATTAGGACAAAAAATATGTAAATGTTTTTTTTTTAACCAAATGTAAATGTTATTTGTTGTATAGTTATAGTTCTCCTCATCAAGAAAATCTTATAATCTTTGATCATTCTAATTTTATGACCCACCAATTGAATTCCTTAATGCAAAACGATAAAATTGAAGTCAACCATGAAAGTGATAAGAGATTGTATGCGGAGCTTCTTTGCCTTGCCAAACGGTAGCTACGACAAAGTTAAGACTTGCCCACAAAATGAAAATGACACTGTCAGACTGTAATAACACCAAAAGATCAACTCTTGTCTTTAATTATTACTAATTGCCCGTTCCTAAATTGAGAGGGGAAAACAAATAAGATGCACAAGCTTGACTCATGTTCTAAAAAATGTTCTGATTTTGTGCACGAACTTGAACACTTGGTATAATCACATGATCACAGTCCTGCTAGATAAAGTAAACCCTAGAAAACTTGATATGTTACACAAAGAATCTTTTACATTTATTGCCTCAAGTTCTGAGTATTTTCCCATAAAACTCAAATTTCTTGAGGCTTTTCCTTTTGCAAGCATTAATTGTGGGACTCTATTTGAGGGGGCAAATGGAGACTCATCCATACCCACTTGGGTGTACTGCAGAGAGAACCATGGGCTCTGTACTTCGGGATATGGCTTTGCCTCTTTAGTCATCAGTGACAACAAGCTTTACTTTCTGTCTATTTGTCTCTATTGCTAAATTACATTTTAAGATGTGGGGGAGGGATTTTCTTAATATAATTAATTATCGTACATATAGTATTTGATCAGATTCGATCATTGTTAGATTAAATTGAGGTAAACTATTTAACATAAATTTTTTCTATAATATCCGAATTCTTAACATACTTGATCGAATAATGATATTTGAAGAGAATCGATTTCCCCCTATTCGACTAGAGTATCATTGGTGTTGAGTATATTTTTATATTGGCTTTCATACAAGTTTTTCTCGAAATTTAAAGTGATTTGTACAATTTTATGATTCTTGAATGATTCAAAATTACATAGATTTTATATTAGATGTGCATGCATACGATACTCTTTTAGATCTAGATAGTAAGAATGAGGACATTGTACTAAGTCCTGGATCTAGAAAACCAAATAAAAAGGAAGTAAATAATATTCTTTTTCTGTATGGTTTTTTATTGATTAGCGAAGTAGGCATGCATTACAAATTAAGATTAAAGAGAAGGCATATTCTTGATTTGAATAATATTTTAAAGGACTTTTCATGGCAGGCTTCAACAAAATTTAATAGTTAACCAAACTTAATTAAAATGTTATGTTGAGTTCAACAACTTTTTTATCACCAAACTAAATCCGGCTCCATAATAATTTAACAGATCATTAACAAACTTTTATTAAAAAAAAAAGATTGTATGATTATTGTGAACTCATAATAATGACAAAAATTAACAATAAATCCTTACTATGTAAAAAAAAAAAAAGATGAGTGAACAATCAAATATATATATATATAGTTAAATTTGTATTTAACAGATTCACATAATTATTTGCAAGAGACTTGATCTATTCGTTCATAAATAATAGAAATAAAATAGAACTGAATCGATGAAGCAATGATTAATTTGATTTATTATTGTTTATTTTTCATATGTTAGTCTTTGCACATAATAATATCTGAAAGGATAAATTAAAAGATGAGTTGTTTATATCACTAGGAAATGTTTGGTCACAAATTGACCCCACACTTATATCACTGGAGAACAACGACACAGCACCAAACCTCTTCCCTCCATCACTCTCTCACAGTCTCACCCTCCTTTAAAAGCTCCATTACTATCCTTTTCTGAGTGTGTTTCAAGCTTCTCTGTCCTCTCTTCTTTTTGTAACATTCATCTCTCTCTCTCTCTCTCTCTCTCTCTCTCTGAATCTGACTTCAAAACAAAACCCATGAAGAAGATCAATCTGATTCTCAGAAAATGCAGGAGCCTGTCAACGAAGATAGCAAGATCTTCCTCATACAGCAGCCTGAGGTCCAAATCTGCTAAAGAAGACACGTGGGGAAGAAAATCAGAAGTAGGAGGAGGTGGAGGAGAAGGACAAGAATGTGAGACTATATATGTTGGAAGCACAAGGAAAAGGTATGTGATAAGCTCCAAGTACTTGAATCATCCTCTTATGAACGCTCTAATGGACAAGTCCAAGAGTACAGAGGAGGGAAGCCATGGGAGAGGAATAATGGTGGTGAACTGTGAGGTGGTTCTGTTTGATCATTTGTTGTGGATGCTTGAACATGCAGATCCTAAGCTTATTGGGTCTGAGTCATTGGAGGAACTGGCTGAGCTCTATGTGTTTTGAAGAAGAAGCAGAAGAAGAAAATCCTACCGTAATGATTTTAGGCTGTATCTGCATCTTGCAAGTTCTGTATTAATGGCTAAGCCTCTTTCTGTTTTTTTTTTTTTTAGTTTTAGTTTTCTTATTTTTGTTATTATTACTGTTATAAATACAATAACTTCATCCATTAAGAAGTTCAACACAGCTGATCTCTGTTCTAACTTTCAAAAGCTTGACGAATTCCATCAAATTGATCTACTGGACATTTAGTATATAACTGTAGTTTTAGTTCATCGTGGCCATCCACTTTTCGTCCCCTTTTGATTAATTGGTCCTTCCTTGTCTAATCTACAGAGTCTGAAAAATGAACAGCATTATTTATGAGTTATGAATAATGGATGGTGTGATATGTCACATGGTTTAAATTTTATGTTGATATTGATGTCTTGGTATTGAATTAAATACATTAGCCTTAATTGTATTTGTGTTATTGACTATACCCAGTAAGATAAAACTTGTTGCTATTGTTTTATCATTGTGTTTGTTTAGAGATTGAAAAATGAGTAATGCTCTTACATTCAATTACTTGTGAGCAGTAAGATTTGTTATAAATTATTGATATTGATATAATATTTAGATATTGATATTTTGCAAGCACCGGTAAAAGTTTTCTATTTTTAGAGAAAGCAACAAGATCTTTAGCAGTAATGTAATAAACTTTATCGCATTAAGAGTGCTATGTGATGAATCTAGTAACAGGGATTTGGATCATCTCATCATCCTTTATGTCATTTTATTTTCCTCATCCCATCCTCACCCTTAAGTTAAAAATTCAACAGATAAGATTCAATCAAATTCATTTATTTATTTTAATTATAGTCCGCAGTTGTGAACCGTTGACATTATATTTTTATTTATTTTCATTATAATAGTTTTATAAAACATTAAATCTTGATTGTTAAATTTTTAATCCAAGGAAAATGATAGGATGGGGAGAAGAAAAAGAAAAAAAAAGGAAAAAAAAAGAGAGAGGATCCAGATCCTCATTGCAGGATATATGTGTAAAGAAGTAACTAAATATAACGTGAATACTTTTATGTTAAATTGAAATAATTCAGGTTGACGGGGCTCTCATCATAAAAGTAAAGTATCTGTGTGTGTTATGTGTTAAAAAAAAAAAAGGTAATTGTGTTTTTGCACATACTTGTAATTGTGTGTTATGCATTAGAAGAAGAAGAACGAGAAGAAGAAGTACATGCTTGTAATCCTGTATATATTTATATTTATATTTATGATAGTATTAAGCCAGAACTTGATCAAAACTTGCTAATCAAATACTCATTAATTAGAATTGGAATATTTTTCTGCATTATGAGAATATACGTGTCACAATAATAGTGTTTGACTCCGCCCAAAATCAAACCAAACAGCTAGCTAGATAAATTTTAGGTGAAATAAAATTTTAAATTAAAGAAAATTTAGATGAACTGTACCTAGAGATCTTAAGAAATTATATTATGTTTCTTGCAAGAATTCAATCTAAATGTTTGGCAACTTGAGATTCTCAATGGCGTTGAAAACCCTATTATCTACGCTCTATCATCAACCAACTGATTAGGATCGCCGAATGAAGTCAATGACAAATTATTTAAATATACAATACAAGCGAATGGTTTAACATGGAAATGAAAATTAAGAAATTTTTATGGATAGAAACAAGGGCATGTTTGGTTGTTAGAAAATATGAGAATATAGTGATTTAAAAATAATAAAGGCACAAATAAAATGATTGAAACATGAAGGAGATAGGTTTATGAGGGAAAGAGTAATTTAATACATGAAGTTTAGAAAGTCATGATTTAGAAGGCTTGTGAAGATTGTGGTAATTCTCACATTTATAATATTAAATTTTATTATGTTTTTCATGAGAAACAAAATGATTTAAACAAAATAAAAAATATGTTTAATTGTGTTAATTTAAAAACAGTTTTAAACTTAAAAAATTGATTGATAACAATAGCCATTAATAGTTAATAGTAGTGGCTTACGATAGTGATTGATCAAGGTGACTATAGTTTTCAATAATTAGGTATAATGTATTTTGAAAACAAGAAAAAAAAACAACTTAAGATGTTTTTGTTTTTTATTTTAAAAAATAAAAATAAAAATTAAAAATTATTAAGATTAAAATACTTAAGCAAACAAGTTTTTTAATTTTTAAAAATAAAAAATATTGTTTTTTAAGAAACAGAAAACAAACAAATTGTAATTATTTTTGTTTTGATTTTTTTTTCATTTCATTTCATTTCTATTATTTCAGGCAACCAAACTGGTTCTAAAGTATATATTTTGGGATAATTTCAATGATTGATCATGGATGATAATTAATTACTAGTGAGTCCTAAAAAATTTTGAAACTTCAATTCAGTCTGAAAGGTTAAAATATAAATAATTTTATTGGTGAAAAGATCAAATTACTGTCCATTTGTTATGTTCAATTGTTAGTTGCTAATTTTTTTTACTTTATTTATTAATTTATCAATATGAGTTGGAAATTATATTTGTTTGCTAGATAAACCCTAACATCAATAGTTAATTTGTTAATTTTACTTATTAATAATTTACTAATGTCAGTTTTAAATTAGAATACATGTCAGTAATATATAACTGATATTAGTAAATTAATAAGTAAATTTAATTATTTAGTAATTTAACAATTGATATTGTGATTTGTGATTGAATAACCAATGTCAAGTTTTGTATAATTATTAACATGTTAATTCATGTAATTTATAACTCGTATAAGTAAATTAACAAATGAAATAGTAAAATTAACAAATAATAATTTTACATAATAAATGAAGGATATTTTAATTTATTCACCATTAAAATTATTTATATTTAAATTTTTAGATTGAACTGAAGTTTCAGAATTTTTTAGAACCCACTAGTAATTAAGTCTCATTCATAGTTCTTAATTAAAATTCTCCCATACATATTTTTTAAATATAACGTGAATTTATAAAAGAAAGAAAATGTTGGTCTTGATTTTTTTTTTAATTTCTAAAACCATTTACCCTTAATTATAATTAATATTTTTCGACGGCAATCATTTTCCTTTAAATAACATATATCTAGAATCAAAATAGGACAAAGTAGTAAATTTAGCTACTAATTATTTTTTGAGGAACATTTGATAGCTTAAACTATCAGATGGTGCAAAATAAATCACGAACTTTTAAAAATAGAATATCAGTAGCTCGCCGTTAATTTCAACTAACGAATGTTATGTGGGCTTATAATGACACGTGGCATGATACGCCATCACGATTAAAGTACAAATTTAATTATGAATTATTTTTTGAGGAACACTAGGTAGCCTATGTTATAAAAAAGGACCATCCAATACTTTTTTTTCAATTTTAACTAAACACCGTTTATTTTCATACTTATAAGGCCCACAAAATATTAATCTTTCCAATCTTCTTGACTTCATTCTCAATATAAGTTCCAAAAAAAGAGGTTCAATAAGTTTTTATCTGAAGACATTTACAAGAACTAGAGTTAGTAATATGGGCTGTGTTATATAGGTTGGCTTGAATAATCGATTATACGGGTCAAGTTGGGTTTGGAAAAAATTGATCAACATAAAAATGGGTTGTTTTGGCTTGGAATATATAACCCTTAAACTATATGGGTTAATCCTGACGGGTTAAGGTTAATCCCTTTAACCCATATTTTTTTTAAAGGAGAAAATTCTGTAACATTATAAATTAACATTTTGATATATTTAGAATAAATCATGAAAGAATATCAAATTAAAATTAGGTGTATTTTTTAAAAATTATAAAAATAAATTAAAAATAAATAGGTGGGTTGGTGACTCTCAAGGGTTGGGTTGGGTTGGAATTTTTTTAACTCAGAGAAAAATGGGTTGTCCTATATTCCCACCTTTAATAAGGATGATGCCAATGAAGTAGAAGTTTAGTTTTACTACGTTGAGAGAAGCTTGATTCTAGCTTAATTTAATCATGAATTATTTTTTTTACTTTGTTATGTCATATTTGTAAATGTTTTTAGATAAAAACTCTTTGAATCTCTTCCTTTCAAGCTGAGATTGAACACGAAGGTAAGAATATTGGAGAGATTAATGCTTTATGGGCTTTGTAAGTATGAAAATAAAAAGTATTTAGTCAAAATTAAGGGAAAAGTGTTAGATAGTTTTTTTTATAGTATAGACTATCCAGTGTTTCTTAAAAAATAGTTCATGACTAAATTTGTACTTTTATCATGTTGATATGTTGTGCCCGTACTGTGTCATATGTCATTGTGAACCTCACATAATATCTATTAGTTAAAGTTAATAACGAGTTACTCATATTTTATTTTTTAAAATTCGTAATTTATTTTATATTATTTAATAATTTAAATTATTAGACGTTAAAAAATAATTAAAAACTAAATTTATTACTTTATCCATAAAAATATTACAAAGAAATTGAAGCTCCCGTTGAAGCGCCTTTTTCGAAACACACAACAAAAAACAATTTCCAACACACTCACTCGCCCTCAACTTTACCACGTTTCTATGCCCCTCAAGCCTTGCACCTTTTCATCATGGGATTGAATCACCATTCATCATTTTCCCCCGTACAACGCAATCCCCCAATTCTGCAACTTTATTGTAGATTCTCACTCCAATTCGGCGTTTTGATATACTGCTTTTGTCAATGAAAGTGTTTTGATTCATACTCCACCTTCCCCTCCGCCGATCAGTGACACTGTGAGTTTCACCTTCATTTTTGGTCTTTTACTTCTCTTTCTTTCCTTCCCCCTATCCTTCGAGCTTGGAATGGTAGTCTTTAGTGATGATTATGCTATACGTGTTCTGGGCTTTCATTTTCTTGGTGTATTTGTCTATTTGATGTGTTGGGTCACTTTTTCAGTGTTTATACGGACGCATCTTGTTTATTGTCCTTTTAACGTTCGATTGTAAGCCTGAGTGTACCCATATTAATTTTTTCCCCAGAAACAAAGTCACATGCCTTCGGTGCTTCAAGGACCTTAGCTTGTCTACCGGAGGAAATGAAATCTCTCTTGTTAATTGCGAAAAGGGATAATATTTTGGTAGAGTTGTTTGTTATAATCTTTTCTGATAAAAATATGTCGGGGAAAAGTTTTTCTGAAAGATCCAACTATCCAAGTGCTGAAATTTTCATTGGAGTAGCAAATAATTTGAAACTGAAATATTTTTCCTTGCGAAAATAGGATTTCTGGAACTTAAATCTTGTTTATGGATATTTATCAGTTACTTTTTATTGCCCTGTTGTTGGTGGGTGAAATGATTTTATTAAGAGAAAATAAGATGCCTAAAATTTACCTTAGCTTTTGATAGTTACCGTGCTGTTCCAGACATATTGTAGAATTTGAAATTTGTATTTGCTTGAATCTGGGAATCGAAAGCTGTTGATGTCAGAATCAGTCTCAGTTTCCTTTATGTCCCTCATTTTTTTCGGGTGGCACGATGAGTGAGGTATTATTCGTTTATCTTATGGTGACCCTATCGGGTCCCAAATATTTCCATTTTCTTACTTGTTTAATGGCATGAATAGTTGCTGTGCAAAGTAATGCTTGAAAAAGTGTTTTCTTATTCGAGTGGGAAGCATCATAATTGTTCCCTGCCAAATGCTTGTTACTTTCTTCGCCCTTTTGTTTTCCTCCGTTATTATAAAACCAAGATGCATTGTGTGCCTTGATATTGAACATTTCAATTTGATTTTGGCCCCAAAAATATATATTTCAATTTGATTTGATTTTTTTTTAATCTTTTCCTTTTTGCCCGTTTGATTGAGAGGAGATCCCTTTTTGTTTCTAAACAACTTCCACTTGGAAATAGAAAATGTAATCGTCAGTGCAGAATCTCCTGAATTCATTTCCTCTTTTAATTTATGTTAGTAATCTATTAAGTCATTTGTGGCTGTTAATTTTTCTGTCTTAAAATTAACCTGCAGTTCACTTTCGTTTGAACTAAGTTAGGAATTCTATTTTTTCTGGTCTTCTCTCACAGTTTAGAATTCTATTAGCCCCATTTTACTAAAGTAATCTATAATTTTAGGTTAAAGAAAGATGGAGCGCTCCAGATTTAACATTAGGATCCGTTCTTCTGGTTCAACTCCATCAGAAGAATCAGCCTTGGATCTCGAAAGAACTTGTTGCAGTCATTCTAATTTGCCTTCGCTGAGTCCCCCAGCACTTCAACCCTTTGCTTCAGCTGGACAGCACTGTGAAAGCAGTGCTGCTTACTTCTCATGGCCTACGTCTAGTCGCTTGAATGATGCTGCTGAAGAGAGAGCAAACTATTTTTTAAATCTACAGAAGGGGGTGCTACCTGACAACCTTGGTCAGTTGCCAAAGGGGCAACAAGCAACCACATTGCTTGAACTTATGACTATCAGAGCATTCCACAGCAAGATATTGCGTTGTTACAGCCTTGGTACAGCAATTGGTTTTCGCATTCGGCAGGGTGAATTAACTGATATTCCTGCCATTCTAGTGTTTGTTTCTAGGAAAGTTCACAAGCAATGGCTCAGCCCAATTCAGTGTCTGCCTACTGCTCTTGAGGTTCTCTAAGATGTTTATTCTGGATCTCCCAAACTCATTGATTTCAATCATATCTTTTAATTATGGCTAGTTGGTAAGCTGGTGATTTCTTCTGCCTTGTGCTGCATTTAAACTAAATGTTTAACATTTCAACCAGGGACCTGGAGGAGTATGGTGTGATGTAGATGTGGTGGAGTTCTCGTATTTTGGTGCACCTGAGCCATCTCCTAAAGAACAACTATATACAGAGATTGTTGATGATTTGCGGGGGGGTGATCCATACATTGGTTCAGGTTCTCAGGTGTTTCCATGCTCCCTTAATTATCATCTTCTTTGACAAGGTTACTTGTGCTAGGAGTATTCCAGTATAGATGTGAATGATTAACACTGGGTTCAATTAATATTGCCAATTTGTGATAAAGAAAGAATTCTTTAGATTTATAATTTGCAACTTTCTACCTCTCAAGTTGTGTGTTACTTTTCTATTTCAAGTTTCATTTATCTTGGCAATGATGCTGATTATCAGCTAGAAAAGTCCTGCCACCTGAGATTTAAGATTGAGTCTAACTTAAGAAAGTATTGTAAGTTTTCTCAGGCCGTAATTCTTAGAAGTTCAAGCATAGTATATCATAGATTCCTAACATCTTTTATTCGTACTCTTATTTTCTACCTGTTGGAGCCATATGATGACCCCTTTTATTTTGCACAATGATGTCAACCTTAAAGAAAGATCTTAGCACTTCTAGAGAACCTGCAAAACAGATCTAAGGGACTGCATTCTTGTACACTCCCTACTATCACGTGGATTATCAGTAGATAATTACAACAATGCCACTTGGACCCACTCAGGCCTTGGAGTTTATATGCGTTCAGTAATGAATCAACTTCTGAGTAAGTAGTAAGTTAAGAAAATTGAAAGTAAAATACAATATCGTTCAGATTAGTTTTCCAACCAAGCTGCAAGGTTTCAAATGTTTCCTGCCCTGAACAGTAGCACCAATAAAAAAATTTCTTTCTATCAAATATCATCTCTCTTGATTCATTTATGCTCTGCAGTCTGAAACAACTGGAAATGGATAAGATAACTGGAGAAGTGTTAAGTGTATTTATTTATTTATTTTGGTTATTGCCAAGGTTTGTTTAAATCTCATATGCTCGAGTTTGTTCGTGAGCTTATTATTTAGGGGGGGGACCTGTTGGCAGTAATCTCAAGTCCAGAAGCACTCTTAACAGATGTTGCTTTGTTGTTATTCAAGTTTGGGTTTAAGAGAATGTTATCGAAGCATTTGCTGGATGTTGAATTCTTAGGAAGCACACACTTGTGAATATTGATACTTGAAGCTGTCTCTCTTTACTTTAAGGCCCACTTTTTAATGATTGAAAGGTCATGCAAATCATTTACTTATTTTAAATGATATCAAGATTTTTCATGGTGGCCGAATCTGAGATAGAGATGCTGGATAAAATTTGTGCGTCCCCAATATTAAACATCTGAGACATACCATGATACTCTGAAGTGGCATACTGATATTGGAGCTGTTATTGTAATGTGAAGAAGATCAGTGTTCCATTTCCATTTTAGAATGTCCTCTAATGGGTAATCTGGGCTTCCACAACATCAGTCACTCGCTTTGGAGCTCAGCTGTTGTACCATCTAAAATGCAATGATTAGGATATAATATTAAGACCGATTGTGAGCATCTTATGAAGTTCGAATTGGATCTTTTAAAGATTTACCTATGAAAAACAGTAAATGCCTGTACCAGTTTGATCCAGCATGCCTTCATGTGAGAATAGCAATCTAGTCTCTGAAGAATAGTTGAGTTACTAATTTCAGAGATCAATGCCAGTCATAAAGCATCTCTGTTTGATGGATTTGTTGGATATCTAACCTTTTACTTTCTTTGTCCAGGTGGCAAGCCAGGAGACTTATGGGACTTTGGGTGCCATAGTTAGAAGCCAAACTGGCCATCGGCAAGTTGGCTTTCTCACAAATCGGCATGTTGCAGTTGACCTTGATTACCCCAATCAAAAGATGTTTCACCCTCTGCCACCCACATTGGGACCTGGGGTTTACCTTGGTGCTGTGGAGAGAGCAACTTCGTTCATAACAGATGAGCTATGGTATGGAATATTTGCTGGAGTAAATCCAGGTAACAAAGATTTAGGAGCATCAAAGATTTATTAATACCAAATGGGTTTTGCTTCCTACACATCCTCATCATGATGTGGTTCTCTTGCAGAGACTTTTGTGAGAGCTGATGGGGCATTTATTCCTTTTTCTGATGACTTTGACATGTCCACTGTCACTACTTCCGTGAAAGGTGTTCGAGATATTGGTGATGTGAAAATTATTGACCTGCAGTCTCCAATTAGTAGCCTTATTGGAAAACAAGTGGTGAAGGTTGGAAGAAGTTCTGGCTTGACTAGAGGAACTGTCTTGGCATATGCCCTTGAGTACAATGATGAGAAAGGAATATGCTTCTTTACTGATCTTCTTGTAGTGGGTGAAAACCAACAAACTTTTGACCTTGAAGGAGACAGTGGAAGTCTTATCATGTTAAAAGGCGAAAATGGTGGAAAGCCCCAACCAGTTGGGATCATTTGGGGAGGAACTGCCAACAGAGGCCGCCTCAAACTAAAAGTTGGCCAGCCTCCAGAAAATTGGACCAGTGGGGTTGATCTCGGCCGTCTTCTCAATCTCCTTGAACTTGATCTCATAACAACAGATGAAGGGCTGAGAGGTTTGTCATTTTTTCTTCCTTTATTTGTTGTTTGATTTTTTATATTTGCTCGTTCTCAATCCACAGAATCAGAACCTTTTGTTGGGCAGTCTGATTTTCACTTATCACGCATGCAAAAGGTATCTGAATTATTATGGAGCTTAGAAAATGCCCATAAAAAAATTGCTGGTATATAATAGTCTGAACTCTGAAATTATTTGAATAATAATTGAGGGCATCGGGTTTGCTTTGGTAATTATACCTTGAAATTGGGTATCATATAACTGGGTTTGTTCTTTTTTGTATAAAACCTATCCAATTACTAAATTTTCGAGTAAATAAGTAATCTTGTCTATTACCAATGAGGCTTGTTCGGCTTTGATCCACAAAAAATAGAGTGCACGAGTTAGTCTTAAAAGATGATAAATTCATCGCAAATTATTCCTTAATTTTCAAGCACTGAAGCTTAATGATTCTTGTAGTTTAGGAACCAAATTAAGTGTACTCCTAGATTACTATACAAGGAGTGATTTAGTGAAGGAAACTTCTAACTACAACAATCTCAAGTGATAGAACCTGAATCTCTTTTTGCCTGTAGTGGCAGTGCAAGAACAAAGAGCAGCCTCGGCCACAGCAATTGGCTCCACTGTTGGGGACTCCTCAACTCCTGATGGCATCCTCACTAAGGATAAGACTGAAGACAAATTTGAGCCACTTGGTCTTCAAATTCAGTCCATCCCTCTAGGAGTTGAACCAAGCAGCCAAGAAATGAAACCGTCAATCGACATAAAGACTGAATTCCAAGTAGAAGATGGAATCAATGTAGGAGGTCCAAGCATAGAACATCAATTTATCCCGAGTTTCACTGGGCGGTCGCCGCTACACAATAATGATGCAGTGGATAGAGCTGCCACCAAGAATTTATCTTTGTTGAGGAACGGCTGTGACGAGGATTTATGCGTTTGCTGCAGCTGGGGGATCATGAAGCTAAGAGAAAGCGCTCTGAAGCTTCAACCAGTATTGAGGAACCTCAGTGAGGTTTAGTGATTTTGAGACCTAGTGATCCATATGACAACTGTAATATTATATTTACACTTCTTAGCTCGCTGTTCAAGCTGCGAGCAATTAATGCTGAAGTCTTGAAGTCAAGTGTCAACTAAATTTTATAAGTGAATTAGTTGGATTATTATTATGATTTTTCCCGTAATGAGGTCTTCTTTATTCCCAAAATGGTTGTATTATAATGTTATGCCAGTTTTAGACTTTTAACATATGCCGCAAATTCATTGGTAAAGCTAAAATATTTTAGAGGAAGACAAATAATTTTGAATCTTAGGTTTCCTGGGTACTTCGGTACGCCGTTGGTGACTTGGTCTTCATAAAACTAGCTTCAGTGATGCAAAAGAATTAGTTTAGTTGGTACGCGCGCTCGAGAGCACGAACAACTTGGATGAGTTTGATTTATAAAAAACTATCAAGTGGGTCCTAAAAATGTGAAGTGTTTCGGAAAGGGTTCACATTAATAGGGAAATTAGGTAGCTTAAATCATTCCAAGGTAGACTGCCTGATTGGAACCTGGAACTTCCTTTTGAATCTGATATTGGAAAACAAAATCACATTCTTTTTTATGAACAACCAAGGAAAAAAAATCATATTCACAAAGTGAATACACTGTACATACTACATGAAAAGTTTAATGCATGCTACTCTTATACATAACAATGACGTAATAACTCACTCACTCCCACTTACTGTTCCGAAACAGAAAATGGAAGAAACTGAAACGAATCTCACAGCACATGGCATTAGGTTACTAACTTCTCCAACAAGGATCAGTTTCAATGCTTAGACTCAGTCTTAACAATGCCATCAGCATTTCTGTATATATAGAAGATGAACCTTGAAGCTTACAAACTCGACACACAAACCCTTTTTCTACAGCTAAGAATGGCGAACCTGTTAGTCTTGTGCATAGTGATTTTGAAGCTTGCTTGTTCAGTACTTGCAGCCTCCACCACGAGCTTCAAGCAGGGCTATGGTGACAGTGAATGTCCATTAGGGAATGACGTGTACCAAAATAGTTGCCCAGAAGCAGAGTCCATCATCTTCTCTTGGGTGGAGAAAGCTGTCTTTCAGGACCCCAGGATGGCTGCCTCACTCCTTCGTCTTCACTTCCATGATTGCTTTGTCAATGCATGACTATATCTTCTCTCTCTCTCTCTCTCGCTCCCCCCCCCCCCAATTATATATACACACTTGAAATTTCATGTGGGGTTTCCATTGTATTGTATCCATGTCCTTTTAAAGATGATGATGTGGTTTTTTTTTTCCCCTCAAGGGTTGCGATGCTTCGGTGCTGCTGGATGACACAGAGCTCTTTCTTGGTGAGAAAACTGCAGGTCCAAACTTGAATTCACTGAGAGGCTTTGAAGTGATCGATGCAATAAAATCAGAACTGGAATTAGTTTGCCCAGAAGCCGTATCCTGTGCTGACATTCTGGCAATTGCAGCTCGAGATTCTGTTGTTCTGGTGAGTCATTTTTCTGCCTGGCTTCTCTGATAATTCAGATTTCGTAGCATGTTTAAATTTTTTATTGAGTCAATGCATTTAAGAATTTGTATAAATTACAGTCAGGAGGTCCAAGTTGGGAAGTCCAAACGGGAAGGAGAGACAGCTTGAGTGCGAGCAAGCAAGCAGCGAACAACAACATCCCTGGTCCTAACTCCACTGTTGATGTCCTCATCGCCAACTTCCAGAACGTTGGTCTCTCACTCCGTGACATGGTTGCCCTCTCTGGTATACTCCCTTTCTCATTCGCTCTATCAGCCGGTTGACCTGGCCGGTTTGATCGGGCTTTGTTAAATCCTGATATGTATGTATGTATGTAAGGATGGTACAAGAAAGGTCTCAAATTATATAGAGTTGAGATAAAACACACACACACACAAAGATACAGTGTTAAGCGAAGGCTATATATATAGTGTTAAGCTAAGGCTATATATATACATAATGTCTCAAACTTTTGGGAGGAAGAAGACTTTGTCGTGTTTACTGCGGCGTTGGTCATCAAATCCATTTAATCCAAACTTGCCAAACAGAAATATAGCATGTCTGATTACTGATATATGTTTTGCCATCTTCACCACCTAGAAACATGAAAGAATTTATTGTTATTTATTTTTTTGTTTTTCTGCAGGAGGACACACAATAGGAAAAGCTCGGTGCACAACATTCAGCTCTCGTCTACAAGGAAGCAGTAGCAAAAGCGCACATGTTAATCTGGACTTCATTTCATCACTGCAACAGTTATGCTCATCAGGAGGAAGAAGCACCAACAATGGCAACACGGTAGCACATATGGACCTGGTCACACCGGCCACATTCGACAACCAGTACTACATTAACCTGCTCTCCGGGGAAGGCCTGCTTCCATCGGACCAGGTTCTTGTGAATGGCAACAACGATCAGACCCGTCAGCTTGTACAAACCTACGCCGAAGACCCCTATGCTTTCTTCGAGGACTTCAAGAATTCAATGCTCAGAATGGGAAGCATCCCGGGGTCTCCCCACGGCCAGATTCGTCGGAACTGTCGAACTGTTAATTAGTTCAAAAGTCTAGCTGCTATTATTATCATATATAGAAGCTATAGCCTATATGGTTGTGGCATGTTCGCTGGGACTATAATCATATTATATGTCGATTTCGTACTGAAATTTCCACTCGTGACTAATCTGTAGGTTCTTCGATATAAAGAACTAGTGTCTGTGTTAATCTAGAAGTGTGATGTTTTCAATTGTCATGCGTTGATGTGTCATGCACCGAATTTCACCATAAATTTGCTTTCTTGATTATGTGCTGAATACAATGCTAAGCATATGTACATCAATTTTAATGATTAATAAATTAAGCAAAAATTCAACAATGATAACAGCATTACATGCATCAAATAAGACATTAAACTACGGTAACCTCAAGAGAAAGCAACGAAAATCAACAACGGGAAAGAGAAGAGGGCCGATGAAAACCTGATCTAAAACCTAAGCTTAAGAAAGAACCACCTGTTTTTGCCGGCCTTGAACCTCTCCTTGGTCAAAGCAACCTTCTTGTCGCGCGATTGAAGAACGTCGAGGGAGACGGCGTCCTTGAGATCAACGTCGAGAGTGTAGCGAGTGGGCATGAGGTGGTTGTAGTTGACGACCTTGATGAATGCCGTCGTCGAAGTTGCGGACGATGACAGCCTTCCGGCCAGCTAGACAGCCCTGCAAAACAATCACGGCCTTGTTTGGTCGTAAGAACTTCACCATCTCCTCCGCCGGGTCCGTCTTCAGTGCCAAAAATTGAGCCGTACTGATTTAGTCTCAGATTTTTTGTAATTTTAATTTTAATTTTATATTTATTAAATAAAATTTTAGTAACTTTTTTTTTATAAATATGCCCATCATTAATCGAAATAGTACTTATTTAATTTAGGTGATTGAATTCAATATTATAATTTTTATAAATTAATTATTTACATGTACTCTAACAAGTTTTAATTCAATATTAAATTTTTATTTGAAATATTTAAATTTAAATTTTTTATTTTTTATTTTGATAAATACAAATATTAAAAAATAAAATATATAATCTTTTAATTGAAAATTTTTAAAAAAATTATAAATTAAAAATTTTAAATTTAAATTGTACAATATGCATCTGAATAATCAATATATAAAAAATATAAAAATTTTAATATTAAACTAGACTCTTTAAATTAAATGTAAATTATATTACTCATGAAAGATTTATTAAAACTTTTTTTTATGATTTTTTAATGGATGAAGTATGATTTATGAAAAGTTATAATTTTTTTATATGATAAGTTGTAAATTTTTAATTGGATGTGAACTTGTGACTTGTAATGTGGCCAAAAATAGAGTTTGTGACTTGTAAATCTCAACTGGGATAGTTTATCCCAAAAATATTTTTTGTATTCATAAGAATTTAAAACCAAGATCTGGTAATTATTTTTGCTTTGTTAATTTATATTTATAATCATTTGATATAATATGCTTTTATTAAATAAAATATGATATAATATATTAAGTCCATGCAATAATTTTTTTATTGTAAGCAGTGATGTCCATTTCAATGGGAGCATTACAAGAAATAGGGTAAATTGAAATCGCAAAACTTATACTCCTTTCTTTAAAAAATGTAACGTATTTTTAGTTATTTGATGTGTAATTATTATTTTTTTAAAAAAGTGTCCCTATTAATAATAATTTTATATTTATTTTTAAGTGTTTAATAGGAATAAATATGAAAAGATAAAGTTAATTAAAAAATAAGTAACTATTTTATTAAAGGTAAAATTCAATTAAAAATATTTTATATTTATGAGCAGAAAAAAATTATTTTGGAAGAATAGAACCCCTAGTCCCTATACTTTTAGTAAATTTTGGTTTTAATTTCTAAAGTTAATTTTTTTAGGTCCCCAACCCTAAATTTTAAAACGTTATTGACATTGGCCCCTCTAGTTCTATAATCTCACTAGAGGGTGTTGACATGGAGAAAATGTTGTTAACTTTACTGATGTGGAGGATAATGGACACATGGCTGTTAACTTGAGAACTTGGGGCAACAAATCAAGTGAAAATAGCACGTTTAAAAAAAAAAGAAAAAAGAAAAACTCACTTGTGTGCTCTATTTACTGCCATTGAGAAGAGAAAAGATTGCAAAGTTTGACCAATAAATTTATCGTCGATGAAGCTCTACGGAAGATGCAATTGAACAAGCTAGTGTTAATTTTTTTGGTTGTTATCTTGATTGGTTGGATTTGTTGTTGGCTTCTCTTATTGCCATGTCAAGTTTAAAGCAATCAAACATGGTGTAAGATGGGATTTACGCTTCTCCTATTGTTGTTGGCTTCTTCTAAATCTTCAATGTCTATTTATTGTCTCTAGTTTTACGCTCCAATGTTTGGTTCCTATGACAAAAAGTTTAAAGGCAAGTTTCTAGTTTTAAGCTTTTGAATATTGTTTCTTAATCTATTTTTGCGCCTTCAAATTGGAACTTAATTAAAACTAGATTTAAGCAATAGTTTTAAATTGAATATTTTACTTAAAATTGCTTCAATAATTATAAAAGCTACAAAGTCAAAAACTTGTTGTTATTATGTTGAGATCAACAACAATAGTGGTGGGACCTTGTAAAAAAATCAGAACGAAACAAAACTCTTGAATTAAAAATTAATATAATAGGATAATGAAACCATGCATATAAATTAAAAGTTTTAAGCTCTTAAACCAATAACAAAATGATACATGGAAAACATCAAAATAAAATTATGATGGGAATAAAATAATAAAGAAGAGTTATAAGAAGCTTTAAATTTTTATACCTTAACAGTTATCATTAGGTGAAAAGACAAAACAACATATGACGCTCACATGTTGTAATCATATAATGAACAAATGAAAGAGGCTTAGTAGATCAATCAGAACTTTGCCTCTTTTGATGATCAAGATCAATTGCGCGCTAAAGCAATGGAATAGCCTCTATGATACATGCACAATGCCCTTGCTCTGTTTATTTTCTTCTTCCGCCATTCCCACAGTCGTGTTCACATCTTTTTTGATTTTTTCACACATATCTGCCCAGAAATTCATAAGTCAACAGCCACGTCTCCATCATCCTCCATATCAGCAAAGGTAACATTGTCTTCTCCAACTCATCGTCCTACTCGAAGATTCAAAAGGTAGAAGGACCAATGTCTCTAACATTTGAAAGTGAGGATGAGGACCTAAAAATTTACACTAGAGACTGAAAACAAAACCTATTAAAAGTATAGGGACCAGGAGTTCTATTTTCCCTAATTGCTTTCATATTTGATATTTTCAACATATTTTTTTTAAAAAAGGAGGAAAATATAAATCAGGATATTTTATAACGTTACCCGCACCGTGACGACATCAAGTGAAGATAATGCGATGACTTGACTGCTTTCGTTATTTTTTTTGCCCCGACGGAAAAAAGTTTGTGCTCGTTATCCTCTTCTCTCATCTTTTTGTTTCATAAATATCTCTTGCCACTTCACTCTTACTAGCGGACCATGATAGCATCAACTTTGCTATCACTGGCCGGCGCCGATGCCGGCGTTGCTGCGTGGTTTCCATGTGAAATCCGGCAACAGGGTCGTGCTGAATCCACGTCTTATCCGAAACCCAGGAAGCTTTTCAGCTGCTATGATGGAAAGCGGCATCATTTACATCAGCTCAAGTGTTTCTGGAGAAGTCCCAACAATAGTAGTCTAAGTTTGACGAAGAGAAACTCGCTGTTGAGATATGCTTATGGCAAAGAAGCTGAGGACAGCTTTTTCTCGGTATAAAAAATGGCTTCTCGTTTTTTATGTTAGTTAATTAAAATGCCAATTGCCATGCTGCACGTTTGGTTTTTAAGAACATTGTGAAAATCTGGGGCAAGACAGTTTTGCTCTGAAGTCTTTTTTTGTTGTTAAATGAGGTGAAAAATTGGTTAGATTGCTTATTCAAGTTGGATGGCATTGTAATGTTTTCCCCTTTTCTTGGTACTTTGGTTTCAGTTTTCATTTTAGGTGTTGTAGAACGAGTGAGGATCTTAGCACTAAGCAGAGATAGTATTTTTCTTAAAATTTTTTTACCACTATTGATGTAATGCATAGTTAAATGCAAAGCAAAGCTTGAGGAAACCTCTTCGCCTATTTTGTTGCAATATTTTTGTAAAGTCCACAATCATATTCGTAGACACAAAATGCGTGAAACGACACTCTGACGTGGCAACTTTTGAAGTGTCCATATGTAATTCAAAGTATCAGATCTTGTCTAATACAAGTATTTGACACACGTAGGAAGCATACACGAGTTGGACATGGACATTGCTCGTACTTTGGAGTATTTGTATGTCATAAATTGGAACAGACCTAATCAATTGCAAGCTTCAAACTTGATGTCTAGGAATATCATTCCTTCGGCAACATCATCTTTTTGTCCTTTGGTGTAACGGTGTTGACTATGGGAAAATATTCATTATATTCCAGTGCTCAGGATATTGAACAATGTGCTTCTACCTGGATAATACTTTTCATGTAAAAATATACGCGGTCAGTTGCATATTGTTTTCTTATGGGATTTTCCCTCCATCATTGTTATGTGTTCTCTTGTTGAATCTAAAATTCTGATGACTTCATGATGCATCAAGGCAAATTTCAAATGATGTATCTTTCTAGTGCCAGTCTACAAATATGATTAAGGGTCCCCATTAAGGGCACATAAGTGATGCAATCTATGTTATTTGCAGGATGTGAGGGAAGATACTGATGAGATGTACGATGAATTATTTAATAAGCATGGGAAAGTAGTATTTAGCAGAAAAGCCCAGAAACCTGCTACTGCAGAGGTTGATGATGATGCTGACAGCCTTTCATGTAAGCTGATCAACTATTATGTGAACTAACTTGCTTGTAGTATTTTTCATACTGTGTTTACATATCCACGGTTTGTCCTTTCAATGGTATCTATGACTTTTATCAGGTCTTGTCACAATTTTCAGGAGAATTTTTCTGTCAGATTCTCTTGAGGATAATATCCTACAGATATGAGATTCTTGAAGCTCTATTAAATTGTTAAACAAGCATTACTATGTAGCTTTCTGGTAGGTTTAAATAATAAATGAGGGGAAATATGATTTAAAGGATTTAAGTAAGCTGAATGGAATGAAAGCAACGTGAAAGAACAATTAAGTGTCATGTAGAATTGTGACATAAAACAGATATTGCTTGTGTTCCTTCCACTATAATATTGCATTCACTTAGTTCAGAAAACGACTTAATCTATATTCCCTTTTTCCTATAAGATGCATTTCTTGTATTTGTTCTGTCCAACAATTTCATCACATTCCTGTTCAGTTTCTTTTGGATGGACTGTTAAATTTCTTTGAATCAAGTTCCATGTAATTGTTATCTCTTGTATATGTAGTTGCTGTGGAAATGGCTAGGGTTGCAAGTGAGGTCAAGGCATCAGATATAAAGGTCTTGTTTGTGAAGCCACTAGTATACTGGACTCGATTTTTTATCATAGCCACAGCATTTTCTCGTCCTCAAATTGATGCTATAGGGTATGGACTTCATTGTTTTTTGTTTCATTGCTAGCTGGCAATCCTTGAGTTTTTCTTAGTGAATATATAAAAATTTGAATATATTCATTTTGTTTTTGATGCATTTTAAGGTCCAAAATTAGAGATCTAGCAGAGAAGAAATATGGGAAAGTTCCATCTGGAGACTTAAAACCCAATTCCTGGACCCTACTGGACTTTGGTAAGCAACTGTGTATTATGAAAGTATGACCTACAAATAGCAATTCTGGAATTATATATTCAAAAGCTAGAAATTGACCCTCTAATCTGTTCTTGCAATGCATTCTGAGGCAAAGCTTTGAGCTTTACTATATGCTTCTTTTTAGAGTTTTGTGGCTCTACAACGGAAACTTTTTTTTTTTTTTGACCAAATACCACGGAAGTTATCTGAACTTGTCTAAATCAATTGCCCTTAATTTACTAGAGAACAGCATGAAAAGTGCTGTAAAAGGACAAAGTGGTGATTGTCATTGTTGGTTACATCACTTCCCAATCGACCTTTTATAAAGACACTGCTTCCACACATGAGAACTGACCATAAATTACCTTCAGCGCTTTTCATTAATCTGCTAGAGAACTTAGTAGCGCTAATTACCCTTAATTATAGTAGAGAACATCATGAGTTATGTAGTCACATCTTTCAGAAGATGTCCTCAAAGAACTAACAAAGAACATCGTACAAATTGCACCGCTTAAGTCAAAGCTTCTGAGAAGTAGTAGAGAGTGGTCCAAGGATTGGGAGCGTGTATAGATCCAGTTTCTATCCCCCCCCCCCCCGCTCATTTCAGAAGTACTTCACAAACTTCTAACTTCAGAGGACTTAAAATATGTCCTGGATTAGGTGTCTCTAATCCTGATCTTGACATTTAGTATGTGAGTGTGTGTACTGTGTTTTGTGTGCGCGCGCGCGCGCGCCTATATGGTAGCTTTGTTTCTCAATAATTGAGCTTGTTTCTTGATCACAGGTGACGTTGTTGTCCACATATTTCTTCCCCCACAGAGAGCTTTTTACAATTTGGAGGAGTTTTATGGTAATGCAACACCAATTGAACTGCCTTTTGAAAATCAACCCCCATTTCGTGGTTGAGCAAAAGATTTAATTTTCCCCCAAGAACAAAAAAGTATGGAGATGATGCCTGCAATTCATGGCCATCTTTGTCAGCCTATAATCAGGGCCAATTTTGGTTTCGAGTATGCTTAGCATCATGGGTTTTGCTCTGCTTCCAGCTGAGTGGAGGATCCTTCAAAGGTTTATTCTAGCGTCGGATATATAAGTGCTGTGTCACTCTTTGAAAAAAATTGTAACATAGGGGTCTGCATAAAGATTATTGTTAGTAACTTGGTAGGTTGAAATTTGGAATGAATAATTCTGCACAGACTATGCTGTCCTGGAAGATGGTATTAATCTGAATTGTATTTGTTCGTTTTAACAGTTGAGGTGAACATTAGGCTGTTAAGCAGTGTCGATGAAGATAGTGCTATGTTGTTCTGGTGCTTCACCATATTATGTGCATACTCACCCGCAGTTTCTTCTGAAAATTTCGAGCACCTACATGATTCCATTGAGTTGTTGCAGTTATATGGACCAGAAATATTTATGTTTCTTATATATATTTATTATATTTTGAAGTGAAAATTCTAAAGATAAATAACAAAGAATTGATTATGAATACATCTTCCTTCGCTAAACGGGACAAAAGGGTTACTGAAGGGATTCAGCGATTTGACGTATCCCATCACAACAGCTTCTAAGTGCCAAAAACGAGCCTTTGGTATTAATGCGCGTCAATGCAACATAAGTAACATGGGAAATTGCAGCTTCAGATAGCATTGCGCCAAAATTAATTTTTACTTAAAAATAACAGGAGGGAAGGGGCTGTAATTGATGCTTTCAGCAGATTGTTATTGTACATGTTGATACACACATTGAGAATTCATTACTTTCTTTCAGAATTACTCAAGAATGAGAGGAAACAACAAACGTGGGTTGGGGCAGACCCGATAAAAATTCCAAAGCTTCTTCAGAAGAACTATGGCGATTCATGCATTTTTTTTCTCTCTTGCTGTGGCAAAATGTAGTATGACAAAAGCTCGTAGCTCTTCTATTTATACAAGATACTTGATAGAATTATTGCCAACTAGTTGCCGTTCAAGTTCAGATGATTCTGCTCTTCCTTCATCCTGGGTCAGGACCTCTAACCTTCCGCCAGTTGAGTTTATACTAAAACAAGGCATAACATGTCTGAGTTTAACGCAGTAAATGCATCGTCTTTCTTTGCATCAGCTGCGAAAGCTGCACAGTGAAGGAAGGCCGCATCCAGAAAGAGCAGCCATTAAGATTCAAGGCAATTCAGTGACAAGTTCACCAGGTTCCACTGGGAACTAAAAACTTACCCACACAAGACCTTCACACTGTGATCAATGGTTGACGACATGGGGAAAATCAGGGAGACTGATTCCTGCAGGCACAAGAACAAATACAAATTGAAAATATTACCAGGAGAACATCCATAAAATGTTATGCTAGTCAAAATACAATGCATATTAGATTACGGTCTTCTGAGATATTCCTCAGATTTATTAGCCTGCACAATTAATTGATGCATCAACTCCGATTCTAATTTTTCTTCCCTCCATATAAATCTCGGTAACGGATATCAAAGTTAAACTACCATCACAGAAATTATAATTTGTCCTCGTTCCTGATCATTATGTAACTGAATTGCAAGAACCCTCCCCTTCTACTACTTGTTCTTCATCTTTCGCTTTACAAACATTGCCTGAATTCCTGCTCTTTCCAGTTTCATTAATGGATACACAGGAAAATGTCCACGAGTATGCACAAAAGGAAGTGGAAAAAGATCAGCATTTTTCCAACAAGACCTTATAACCAACTCAAAAACAAGCGCAAAAATCTATATCATTTGATAGCTTTTCCTCCCAACTTACTTTTATGTTATAAAAGCTCTCAGCATGCTAGAAGTAAGACTTCGTAGCATAGAACCTCATTGGAGTAAAGCAAAGAAAATCTGGATAATCTCATAAATTCTGTAAATCAAGCAATAATCTTAAGGTGCATCTACTCTTAAAATTTATCCCCCCAAAAACAAAATATACACACCCTCAGCTTTAAACAAAATACAAAATTTTCACTAAACAGAATGAGTCAATTAACATTCTGAAAAAAGCACTCTAGGAAAGTAATTTATTCATGTGAATATGTATGTATGTATGTATGCAAAGATATGGAGACATCTGCCATGTGCTGTGCATGGTCATAATGACATGAAACTCACAAAAAGAGAGTTACAGTTAAAATTAGCCGAGTGTTGACTAGCCTGTCCGGGTTATGATGGGCCAATGTCCAACCAGGTTCATATGCTTCAAGAAAACCAAGCTTTGCCTTATTAGGTAGATCATGGGGATGGACAAATGGCACTCCAGGTGGCCAACCTATCTCCATCCGTATATTGGCACATGGGCTATCAATGGTGTGAATGTGACTTTCACATTCCTTCAAATTGCAGAACCGGAGCTTGATTCCTTTCTTATCTGCAATATCCTGAACCCTTTCTTTCAATACTCTCTGTGCCTCAAGCCTTAATCTCTTGGAAGGAGGCAGAGGTTTACTTTTTGTATTTTGCTTCCTCCTCCGCATCAACGTTTTCATAGATCCTGTACCAGCATTTCATCGATCCAAGGACCTGCTGTTAAAAACTTCCTGCTAAGGACTACCATTAAAACAGAAGCTACACTAGTTCAACATGAAAAAAAACCCAACTCATGAAATGATTAGCGCAGTTATAAAGACTACTCTTGGCTAGACATCGCATGCTAAATCTGTGCTATAGAACTATCAGGGTTACAACAGTACTTGGAAGTGAAAACACACAAAATGTATGCTTGGCTATTAATTACTGCTTCCCAGCAGATCTTGAAACAATGCTGATTCCTAAATTGTCAGTCATCAATTTCATCAGTACTAGAAATCTCAAAGGTGTCACAAATCACCATAACTATCATTCAAGAGAACAAATAAAAAGTTTAGATTGAGTTCTGGAGTGTATATACAACCAATAAACCAGATTACAAATGCAACTAAATGCTGCTTACCATCATGGTTTGGTGGAAAATAGAAGCACTGGAAACCATTTCTGTTAAGGAGATGATCAGTTGGGTGAGATCTTTGCATAAAGTCATCCACAGGAACAGGAAGCTGGAACTGTGATTCAACTCCATGACCTGCAGCCCTCATCTCTGAACAATTAAGACTGGCCATAGATTTAGGCATGAGTTTAAATGCTAAGGAACAACGCCCAAAAATATTTCCCTCCATATTGACCTCAGTTTTGTGCACTGCAGGATTCACATAACCTGCAGTAGCCTGATAGAGAGCAAGCCCAGGATAGACAACAGCATCTTGAGGTCCGAGGTCTCCATCCACAAGAATCCAACGACCTTGAAAGTCTCTTACATATAAGCCTACCTTGTCTGACTTAACAAGAGATATCAAGCTTTTATCAACTTGGTGATCATGATCAGGATGCATTACCAATTGGCCATCCTCTTGAGTGGTTATGTTGTGGTGTTGTGGCCCCTGAAATGATGGCCTTGCTTGACAGCATACAGATAAGACTGAAGATGAAACCTCTCTATTCCTAAGGGGAACATTATCTAGTATTTCAGTAAATGGAGAGCTGCGCAAATTCAAATGAAAACTAATGGCATCAAGAATAACCCTCGCTGCTCTTCCAAATAAAGCAAACATGTCTGGCAAACCTGAGGGAGGGAACTCAATTGAGTTGTTTGGTTCTGGGGAAGTCAACCCTGGTCTATAGTCATAGGTCTCTTGCCACAAATGAGGATCTGCATAATAACCAGATGTCTTGCACCACTCGCGAGACTCATTAGTATGGATTACATCTGCAGGTGGATATGACTCCCTTTGATGGAAATAAAGACGAGCAGATCCCAAACCTGACCTTAAAAGAGCCCCATCACTAGCCGGAAACTGGATGATGGCTGCCGAAAACTGAGCCAGTGATTGTGACAAAGTTGAAACAGACCTTTTATAGGCATCAGAAGGCAAGCCTTCCGAAGGAACTAGGTCAGTAAGCTTGATACAACCCAGTGATGGCAGACCACCGCCTCCCATGGAATCCATCACTCTGTCTCCTAAGTCCTACAACTTAATTCTTTTCTTCTTCTTTTTTTTCCTGGCTGAGAAGTCCTACACCTTAGTTCAGATAACTGCAACACGCCAAACTTCTTATACAGACTAAAAAGTTACCCAAACCTGCGAACAGAAAAGTTTATGCTATGTATCATACCGAAATCAGACACGAGTTGGGAAGCTCAGAATCACAAAATTGAGCAGCGTCGTGTTGTGAAACTGTGTTTCAAAGTTCAATTCTGACAGGATTGAAACTCAATCAAGCTCAAAGTTTTCTTAAAGAAACATTAGAAAGGGTACTACAGGTTAGCTTTAAAGATTCAAATTCTTGAGTTTAATGGGAATGAAAAAGAGAATTGAACATTTTCTCACGACAACCCAGGTAGCGTAGTGTGGTTATTGTTTTTACCTTCTTTTGTCAGTCCTTTTCATTTTGTAAATATTCCATTGCAAAAATGGGTGCCGTGTGGATCAGATTCAGATGCCTTGTGCCCTTTACAAGCTCCAAATGGTAATTGAGGAAATGCGCGAAGAGCGAACAATTTGCGAATGAACTTTCTTCAAATGAAACTCTCCAGGGAAAACCTAAATAAAATTTCGGATTAAAAAAAAAAAAAAACCTTAGACCGCCTGGGTAAAAAAAAAAAAAAAAAACTTAGGTAATGGGTCGGATTTGATATTAAGCTCCGAGTTGCAGTACGGACGGGATGCATTATATTCTATTGATGAACAAATGAAAATATATTCTCTCTCATGATTTTTAATTTATACTCAGTATCTTATTATTTATAGAAACTCAGTAATCTTTAAATAATTCATATAAATTATTAGATTTAGTTAAAATCAATTGATATTTTTAAAATTACTCAATCTTTTTAAAAATATTCTTAATTAAATGTTAGAAATTCTAGTAAAATCGTGTATGATTATATTTCTCAATCTCTCTCTTCATCGTAATTCATAATTCCTCAACAATATTGTCATTATAAACCATCAAAAATATTATCATCAATTTTAATATATACATTATTTATAAACTCAACTTTCTAATTATAGGTACACGAGTCAAACTCCTATTATACTCTCTCTTGTCCAAAGCATAAGCATTTTTTTTTAGTTAATTTTAATTTAAAATATAAACCAACCTGTAAAATATTTTTTTTCATTTTATTTCTTATATTTATTAACCTAAATCTTTACATAGATTTATTTTACTCATCATGAAAAATATTGACAATTAAAAATAGGTTTAAAAAGGAAAATATATATACATATACATTTATTAGAAATTATATATGTTAAAATGAAAATTTGATTGGTATGCAAAATTTTTCTAAAAACTTGAAGGGAATAATATCTTGGATAGATTGTTTACAATTGAAATTTTATGTATCAAAAATTAAATAGAAAATAAAGAGATTGAAAAGATTTAATACTTTAAAAAAAATTACTACACCTCAAACGAGTAACTACTAAGTTTTTACTATATTTTTTTAACAAAAATAAGATACACCCACAGCCAAAACATTCCGTGTTGCTAAATTCGTAAATAATACAACTCTATTATTGGTGCAGATGAATTGATTTATTTAAAAGGTTTTTAGTACAGCCCGCTTACGTTATGAAACCTGTCGCTGCACTGCCTGCTTTACTAAAACCAGCAAATCGACCGAAAAAATTAAGATGAGAATCAAATGTATGATACATAAAATTAAAGTGCTCACACTAATCATAACAATATCACATGCTTAATTTTTAATGCACTTGAGGAAAATGTTATCATCCACTCCACATCCCATATAACCCCGCAGGAAAAGATTACTCCAACCATGGATTCAATCCATATGATCCATTGGGTCCCGCCAAAAATCAACGGTCATGAACTAATAATACTCAGACGTTTGACTGATCCGGTTGCTAGGAATAAAAGCATCATCTCCCACATTTTGGATGTTCAAGCACAAATAACTAAAAGCACAAGATACTGTTGTCACAAGCAGATGATTGGAACAGTATGTTTCCATAGCCACCAGTGCTAACAAGATGGTAGATTTAAATAGAAAAGGAAGACAATACGGGGCAAAATACACTTCCTAGTACATTATAATAGCCGAAGTATTTCTCTCATCACTGGTAGAATGTTAATGAATACATCAGGAAGGAAAAGAGGCACAACCCATGTACACGAATATTCTATGGCCTGCGGGCTGGGGGTGGTGAGCTGCTGCTGCTGCTCTTGCTACTACCTCTTCCTCGCAATGGCCTACAACGATGAAGAAAACTTAGCACGCCAAAGAAATACATCAAGGTAAAATTAAGGGAATTAAAGCAATACAATCCCAAGTAAATTTTCATAAATTAAAGCTAATGCTGCATTGCTGACAAAAGTAATCTGTAATTAATGGCAAATAAACATCACCTTCTTGGACTGCGACTCCTTGATCTCCGGGATACCTGCAAAATAATGAAGGACTAAGCAACACAACACACCAAGCAAAAGCAATACCCTCTAAGCCAAAAGCAGCACAAACCTTGCGGGGACTTGGTGAATCAGAGAAGGATGACGATGACCTTCCACGTCTCATAGGTGGCCGACCTCTGTCAAGAAACATAGATAATGTAACTTCCACATTCTATTGCCCAATTGGATTAGTTTATGCAAAACCAGTAGTTCCAGGAATAACAGCGTTTAAGTTTCTCGTGTAACTTGAGATACATACAAATGGTAGTGCAATACATCAAAGTAATAACAACAATAATAATAACAAACCTTATCCCACTAGATAAGGTCAGCTACATGGATTGTATGATACCATTGTGCTTTATCATTACCAAGCTTTTAGGATTGTTGTTAACTAAGAGGTCCTTTTTCTTAATATGAAGACAAATGATTCATTTCTACTGTTATTTATTCAGACAAAAAGTCATTTTCTAGCACATGCAATTCTAATTTGAAGCATCAACATTAGAGAATAGTATAAAAAAAAACTGGGAACAATAAAGCATTTTGAAGTGGGATAGCAATTAACAGTAAAATTACCTCCGCGGTGGTGAGAATGATCTTGACCACGAGCGTGCAGACCTTCGTGGTGGAGAGCGACTGCGTCTGCGATTGATTGGAGACCTTCTAGGACTACGAACTCTTCTAGGCGGTGAACTGGGAAAAATCATTTGGTGAAACTGTAATTCTTTATATTTATGTCTACATCATGGTCATTTACTAATATAGCAAATTATACACACAAATAGGATTACCGGCGCCTTGGAGGAGGAGGAGAACGCCTACGAATTGGACTTCCACGCATCCTTCTGGGTGAGACCCTACTAAAAACAAGAATCAAGTCAGTACATAGAAAAATAATAACCTTGTAAGCCTATAGTATATGAACTAATTGCAAGCCAACCTTGCAGGGGATCTAAGGCGCCTTGGTGGAGATGGAGATCTGCCTCTTGCAGGAGACACAGGCCTCCTCCTAGGAGGTGTGTCTCCGCGACGATAGGGTGAGTCCATTCGACGACGAACAGGAGATTCTGGTCGTCTTGGTGATCCAACTCTTCGAGGCACAGGAGATCTCCTTCGTGGTGAAGGAGGTCTTCTCCTAGGAGAAGCTGATTCATCCAATTTACAATTTAGTTATTGTGAAAAAAATTCACAAAAAAACACATTCAACAAGGCATCAAGTGCATACATTCTCTTTGCCGCTTTGGCCCATCTTTTTCAGTGTCTGCATTAGCGTTATCAGTTCTTGGAGCATCTCTCTTTGGAGCAACAGCAGAAGCCTTTGGGGGTGGTGAAACCTTCTGTCTTGGTGGCAAGGTAAATCTGGCCTTAACAATATTACCATCTATCTGGGCCTGCATCACAAGAATTACTGGCATCAATTTCAAATGCAGCAAGTTTGATTACAGAAAGTAATCCAACTCATTCCATAAAGACCTACACCATCCATGTATAGTAAGGCCTTTTCAGCATCCCCTCTTGTCTTGAATTCCACATATCCATATCCTTTAGGAAGGTTAACCTGAAAATTAGAAAGGAGTTTTAGACAACATTAAGCTAAATTGCCTTAAAATTTATTTTAATGAAAGTATCCTGAGAAAAAAAATGATGCAATACTTAAAGCAAACTTACAGTTCGATCCATTGCCAACTCCACATTTACAACCTCACCGAAGTTACCTAATAAGTTCAAGTACAAAGGCTAAAGATCAGAAAGCTGCAAAATCTTTTACAAGATTAGTTCAAAAACTCTTAAAGTTAGTAGATCGCCAAAAAGTCTTTTATGATTGCAAAGACCCAAATGCAGTGAAAAAATTGGCTAAAGATACTGATGTTGTAATGAATTATGATTTGTTATAGATCAATGAAACGGAAGTAGAAGTAGTAAAGGAACAAGAGAGGTGCCACATAGGTCTCAGATCCTGAATTTTCCTTTAACAATTAGAGGATATTGCCAGCACACAATTAAATGTGAATTCACCGAGAGCTCATCCAATTATTACAGGGGATCAATATATAACCTAAACTACAAGTATTGTAAAGTCAAGGGAATAAGAGGAAAGAATTGAACATACTAAATATTTCTTTCAAATGGCCTTCATGGACATTCCTGCTGAGTTTGTCTATGTGGAGAACAAGTGATTCACGAACAGGAGAAGGTTTCCTGGCATGAGGCATAAAAAGTGAACACATGAGCAAATGATATAAGTAAAACAAAGAAAGGTCCTGCCGGTCATGAAATATCAAAGCCAGAAACCAAGATTCATTGAATTGCGCCTAAGCTCCATAAATAACATCAATTTTTTTGGCCCACATAAAAAAAATCAAATTAGAATGCAAAAGATATTATAAGTTTTTAAAATGTATGAGAATCCACCAAATAAACTCTGAAATCTAGCCGAAGCCATTTGCAAAATAAAATTGTGAACACAGTGTTTGCCTAACATAAATAATAAGGACTTGCTAATCATCACTAACGATCTTCTATAGATTACACTAATCAGTAAGGAAATTGTGATCAGAGTGTTTCAAATATAATTGACAGTAATGCTTGACATCACTTGGCAATCTGCGTCTCACAATGTCCCACTTCCAATCCCAGTTTGCATCTTATAGACTAGCAAGATATACAATGTCAAAATTTAAGCTTACAAAAATGTCTTTAACAAGAGAAGTGCTCAAGTCAAAACAGAAAACAAACAAGAATTGCAAGAACAATTAGGATTCTTTTTGGCATAACATTTTCAAGCAAACTGAAACATTTAATGCCACACCAATAAGTAGAAAGACATAACTATCGCACCTGGGGGGTGGAGATATCCTTTTAGATTGAGGAGGAGGAGATCTACCTCTCCTAACAGCTTCAGCAGGACTGCAAGACAGAATATGAATGAAAGTATCAGATAAATCTGCTCAAGAAGCACAGTAAAAGTATAATTCAACAGGACGTGAAACATTTGAGATATTTTAAATACTAGAAATGGAACCTTAAGAGATATGAAGAAATTAACAAAAGAAAGCTCTATGGAACAAAGGTGCCAAAGAGGGATATGCCCTATCAATAAAGAACGCTCAGTCTCCGAAATCATAAGCTTAAAAGAAGTGGTCGAATAATTTTTAGCATTGCTCCCAGTGCAGTTTAGCTTTCTGATGATTTATAGGCAGAGTAATGCTTCCTCTTGTCGCTGCTACATGTTATGAGCAAAATAAAGATGTTCTGAATTATATCTACCCCGTACGAAAGATTGTACCAAGAACAAAATAATTAAGTAGTAAGTAGTATTGTAGTAGGATTCTAAAAAAGAGCACCACTCTCAAAAAGAGTGCGCATTGTTTGTAAGTTGGAACTGAAGGTTTCTTGAAAATATTGCTTTCATAACAAAGTTTCCATACGTCCATAATATCAAATCGACTCTCATTAACGGACTGCTATAAGCTATACCAATTCCACTCCAGTCCCCCAGGTTCTTGGCTCAACATTTGACTGCTGGAGGTCTATTAGGTGTGATTTGTCACAGCTTCAACAGAAATAATCAAGGCTAAATATTTTAGATGACTGTTCACAACAAAACTGTGTAACAATCAATACCTACTTATTTTCCATTTGATAAAAGTACAAATTGAACGTAATCATAAGATGAAAACAAACAAGAATGAAGAAAAAGGTTATATTTCCTATCCAGTAGTCTAAAGATTCCGATTAGTGGAACTCCGTAATACTCCGGTTATTAACGTTGTAAACAATGGAAGTGGTAAGAAACGTGGAGATACAGGGAGCACAGTCTGGAATCGTACAACGCACAAGTCTTTCAGTCAATTCAAGCGACAGACGAATTGAACAATACCAAGTTCTATGTCTGCTCCGATTTTCCTAAAATTTCAAGCTTAAACCATCATCAAAACGACACACCCAAATCTTTCGACTTAAAATCCAAGCATGCACACATTGGGACGTACCTCTTCCTTCTTGGAGGAGGGGGACTTCGGCTTCGAGAACTGACACTGCGGGACGGAGAAGAGGACGAGGAGAAGGATCTGGAGCGAGAGGGAGAGCGGGAACGGGAGCTGGAGCGAGAATCGGAGGGAGAGGAAGACCTAGAGCGCGATGAGGAGCCAGAAACGGAACCTGACGGCGGTGAGCGACGACCTCGCCCAGGTTTAGCCATTGCTAGGGGCACTGCGAGAGAATTGGAAACCCCTCAATAAACCCTAGTAAGAGGCAGAGGACTGAATCGAAGATAAGAGAGGAGGAGAGCAGCCCAATGACCCCGTACTGTTGTCTCAATTGGTGCGGGTCGTTTTGAACTGGTTTTGCCCCGATATTGATTGGTTATATCCGTTTATATTAGGAAAACTTACAATTAGGTCCCACAGGAAAAAACTTAAATACAGTCAGGTCTATGAATAAATAAAATAATTCTGAAGTCCCCTTGGTCCTTCGGTATAAATGATTCAACTGAAATGACTCATTTGCCATAGCTAAATAAAAAATAAAAAACCAAGAAAAGAGGAAAGAACAAGCGATTTTCACAAGATAGGAAGCCACAACTAATGGATGGAGGTCTCACATTTGTCTTTAAAATGCGCTAGGTGATCATCTTGTAGTTAGAATCCAAACTTATTCTCATGATCTTCTTCGAAGTGAGATAGGTAGGAGTCTATGAAGGAAGGAGGCCTACCTTCGAGCTAGCCACGCAGCTTCAACCTTCAAAGAATGCGATAGTGACCGCATCAAACTAGGTAAATGATGATATTGGTTTGCATGTGCTTTTGTTAATCATTTAATATGGTCTTTTATTATTTGTTAGTAAAATAAAATTGTCTCTTTCTCTCGTTATGGGTATATCAATCGTGGGTGGTCTCTCCTTCTTTCTTGATGTGTATATTTTTCGTGGATAGTCACCAACCTTGCATTTATAATGATGTATTTGAGAATCTGGTATTACTTGATCGAGCTGGTAAATTTGTCATGAAATACCAAGGTACGTTGTTAACAAGTTAAGCATAAGTTGTCAATATGCTATAAGTAATTGTCCATATGTTTTGTGTGGTTCAGAACGAATTCAACAAATTTAACAATCACTGCATGCTGATAAATTTGTCATGAAATAGCAAGATGTGTTGTTAATAGCCTGAACATAAGTTGTTAATATGTTATAGGTAGTTGTCAGTACGTTCTATGTGATTCAGCTTGAGTTGATAAATCTGTTATAAAATGACATGATATGTTATTAAGAGCTTAAACATAAGCTGTCAATATATTATGGGTAGTTGTCAATATGTTATGTGTGATTCATAATGAATTTAATAAATTTAATGACCAATGCATGCTAATAAATTTGTTATAAAATGGCAAGATGTGTTGTTAATAACATAAATATAAGTTGTCAATATGCTATAAGTAGTTGTCAATATGTTTTGTGTGGTTTAGCTTGAGCTGATAAATTTGTTATAAAATGGCAAGATGTATTATTAAAAGCTTAAACATAAGTTATTAATATACTTTGGATAGTTGTCAATATGTTTTGTGTGGTTTAGAACGAATTTAACAACCACTACATGCTAATAAACTTGTTTATAAAATGGCAAGATGTATTGTTAATAGCCAAAATATAAGTTATCAATATGTTATGGGTTGTTATTAATATGTTGTGTAGTACAGGATGAGCTAATAAATCTGTTGCTTACTCACTTTTTTTGAGGCTCACTATTTTTTCTGATTTGTTCATGTAGGATGACCTCCGAACGAAAAAAGTTGAATGCATGTGATGGCTTTTCAATCATCACAATAATGAGAATGAACCCACTATCATGTCTATGTTATCATGATCAAAACAAAGCAAAAAGAGAATATAGAGGGGTTATCCAAATCGTGCATATCATTTATGATAGATTTTTTATTTTTCATTTTATGTACTTACCTTGTTACATAGTATTCTAAACTTTTCATTTTGTATATTTGACTTTGTAAATGCTTATATCACGAATAAATACTAGTTTTAATTTCAACCAAAATGCTCATTACATGTTTCTCACCAATATACAATTGTTAACAAGACAATTGCCCCACAATTATTGACATGAGGCCTTTACATTATTTATCACATAATATACAATTGACCGATAAGTTATAACAACTTTGTTCTAAACCAATCATTTACAATTAAGCTAAGGGAAATAACATGATGGCAAGGGAGAATGACAATTGGGCAAGGGGCATTGACAATTGATATATTTTTAAGTGTAACAGCTGTTGATAAAATGCATAAGTATTGCAAAACAACCATTTATAACTAGGCAAAGGAGAATAACAACAGGGAAAGGGAGAACGACAACGAGGCAAAGGGTATTGACAACTAATATATTTTTACGTATAACAAGCTATTAATAAAATGTACAAGTATTGCAAACCAACCATTTATAACTAGGCAAAGGAAAATAATAATAGGGCAAGGGGGAATGACAATTAGGCGAAGGGCATTCACCTTTTTAGACTCATTTATTTTGCATATTGCACTTTGTAAATGCTTATGTTAAGGGTGAATACTAGTTTTAATACTTATATCATGTCATTAGACTCATTTATTTTGCATATTGCACTTTGTAAATGCTTATGCTAAGGGTGAATACTAGTTTTAATACTTATATCATGTCATTTAACTGATTAAATGGTGAACTATTACAAGCCATTCGTTTACAATGAGGTAAGCGGGAATAACAATAGGACAAGGGGCAATGACAACTTAGCATGTTTTAAGTGTAACAAGAATCTTATTAATTGTACAAGTATTGCATGCCATTCGTTTACAATTAGGGAAGCAAGGATAACAACAAGGCAAAAGGCAATGGCAATTTCCTATTCATTCATTAACAATAAGGTTTACATCAATACTTACAAGTTTAAGACATAATGCAGCTTTAAAAGCATCATTTATATCATTACAGAATATTGATAACTCATTCCAAATATAATTACATGAGTTGTATGTATATAGTAAAGCCTTAAAGGCATTTGCAAACAAAAAATACCATATAAGTTTACAAAATAATACCAGCTTCAAAAACAAAAAGAAAAATACATGTCTCTAACATTAATCAGCATAGATTAAAGTTCTTGTAAGTCCTGGAAGCATGACCAGCCTTATGATATCTTCCTCAATAATAAACCTTCTTCTATTGAAATTGAAATTCACGTCATTTTGTCCTAGGCCTTCTGGGAAGCCTTATAGTCTTCAGTTGCTCTAAGAATATTGATTGTGAATTTCATTTAACCTCCATTGCTTTCATACCTCATAATTGATACTAACATTCTTTTTAACTCTTCATATGATACCCCTTCCTTCATACTTCTTTCTCGTACACTCTTACCTATAGATTACATACTGCCTTGGGCATCATATGCTAATTGCCCTCTTATATAAAAGAACACAATACATGTTTTTTAGAACTAATAGCCATCTTTCATGCCAACTTGTGCTACACAAAATAGCATATTGACAACTTATGTTTAAACTCTTAACAACACATCTTACCATTTTATAATGGATTTATCAGCTCAAGCTGAACCACACAAAACATATTGACAACTACCCATAGCATATTAACAACTTATGTTCAAGCTATTAAAAACACATATTGCCATTTTATAACAAATTTATCAGCATGTAGTGGTTGTTAAATTTGTTAAATTCATTCTGAATCATACAGAACATATTGACAATTACTTATAGCATATTAACAACTTAGGCTTAACCTGTTAACAATAAATCTTGATATTTCATAACAGATTTACCAGCTCGACCAAGTAGCACCAAAATCTCAAATACATCATTACAAATGTAAGGCCAGTGACCACCTACAACAAATAAACCCATTAAGAGAGAATGAGAAATTACCTATGATTGACATACCCATAATGAGAGAAAGAGACAACTCTATCCTAAAACAAATAATAAAAGACCAGATTAAATGATTAATAGGGAGCACATGCAAACTAATCTCATCATTTACTTGTTTGATGCAGTTACTATCGCATTCTTTAAAGGTTGAAGCTACGTGGCTTGCTCAAAGGTGAGCCTTCTTCCTTCACAAACTCCTGCCTAGCTCACTATGAAGAAGATTATGAGAATGGGTTCAAATTCTAGGTACAAGATGATCACCTAACTTATTCTAAAGATGAATGCGAGACCTCCATCCATTGGTTATGGCTTCCTCTCTCATGAAAATCCCTTGCTCTTTCCTCTTTTCTCTTTTTTCTTTCCTTGGTTTTTTATTCTTTATTCAACTAGGGCAAATGAATCATTTTCATTGCAAAATTATTTTCACACTTTAGAATCATTTTGCTTATTTGTGGGACCTAGCTATATTTAAGGTTTTTTTGTGGGACCTCATTATAATTTTTCCTTATATTATTTAAAAATGGGAAAGTGATAGCCCCAAAAAGTTAAATTAATGGCAGTCTTGATAAAATTTTTTTAAAAAATAGATCATAAACATTTTTTAAAATAAATTATAAATATTAATTTAGAATGTCACAAATAGAAATTTTATATTTGATATTTAAATACTTATTTTTAATTAACATTTTTGAATTTAAAATTACTTGAATTGATATTTTTAATTTATATTTTTAAAAAAATTATAAAAAATTTAGTTGCCATTAATTTAAGATTCTAAAACCTAACTATCATTCTCTCTTCAAAAATTATAAATAATATGATATGATTTCCTTGTTAATTTGTGTAATGTGTTGAAAATTTTAATTAGTTAGTACTTATTTGATAAAAATCCAAATATCTAAACTTTTTTTTTTTGGCCAGAGATCCAAACGTTTAAACTAAAAGCGGCAATCATATATATATATATATATATATAAACAAAAGACACCATTTATAAATTCATTTTGTAAATTACGTGTAATGTATAAAAGTTAAAAACATGTATAATTTTATTTAAAAAATAACAGTTATGTGATATGTCAAAGTGGATAATACATTGTAGACTGTAGTGCCTTGGGGTGTCAAAGGAAGAAGCTTTAATGGAGATTTTTCCTTGCTTTTATTTAGATGGAAGAACTTTGTTATATTTGCATTTGTTCTTTGTATATATATATTTTTTATTATAACTGTAAGGTCTTGTATACTGCTTTTATATTGCAACACGTAGTATAAATTTTTATGAATGTATTTTTTTTTAATAAAAGTTAAACTTCATATAAGTGCAAGGTTGTGGATTCAATTCCATTTATAACCTCAACATATTAGTATATGTTCCTCTAATTTTTTA